TATATATATATATATATATATATATATATATGACTTTTTACCAACTGGTAAGTGGAGACTTTTTGATTCACACAAGCCATGGTGAACGACAGCACCGTGGTGAACGGTAGCACCATGGTGAACGGCAGCACCATGGTGAACGGCAGCACCATGGTGAACGGCAGCACCATGGTGAACGGCAGCACCATGGTGAACGGCAGCACTATGGTGAACGGCAGCACCATGGTGAACGGCAGCACTATGGTGAACGGCAGCACCATGGTGAACGGCAGCACTATGGTGAACGGCAGCACTATGGTAAACGGCAGCACTATGGTGAACGGCAGCACCATGGTGAACGGCAGCACTATGGTGAACGGCAGCACCATGGTGAACAGCAGCACCATGGTGAATGGCACCGCAAGGGTGAACGGCAGCACCATAGTGAAGGGCAGCACCATGGTGAACGGCAGCACCATGGTGAACGGCAGCACCATGGTGAACAGCAGCACCATGGTGAATGGCACCGCAAGGGTGAACGGCAGCACCATAGTGAACGGCAGCACCATGGTGAATGGCAGCACCATGGAGAACGGCAGCACCATAGTGAAGGGCAGCACCATGGTGAACGGCAGCACTATGGTAAACGGCAGCACTATGGTGAACGGCAGCACCATGGTGAACGGCAGCACCATGGTGAACGGCAGCACTATGGTGAACGGCAGCACCATGGTGAACGGCAGCACTATGGTGAACGGCAGCACTATGGTGAACGGCAGCACCACCAGGGTGAACGGCAGCACCACCAGGGTGAACGGCAGCACCACTAGGGTGAACGGCAGCACCACTAGGGTGAACGGCAGCACCATGGTGAACGGCAGCACCATGGTGAACGGCAGCACTATGGTGAACGGCAGCACCATGGTGAACGGCAGCACCACCAGGGTGAACGGCAGCACCACCAGGGTGAACGGCAGCACCATGGTGAACGGCAGCACTACTAGGGTGAACGGCAGCACCATGGTGAACGGCAGCACCATGGTGAACAGCAGCACCATGGTGAACGGCAGCACCATGGTGAACGGCAGCACCATGGTGAACGGCAGCACCACCAGGGTGAACGGCAGCACCATGGTGAACGGCAGCACCATGGAGAACGGCAGCACCACTAGGGTGAACGGCAGCACCATGGTGAACGGCAGCACCATGGTGAACGGCAGCACTATGGTGAACGGCAGCACCATGGTGAACGGCAGCACCACCAGGGTGAACGGCAGCACCACCATGGTGAACGGCAGCACCACCAGGGTGAACGGCAGCACCACCATGGTGAACGGCAGCACCACCAGGGTGAACGGCAGCACCACCATGGTGAACGGCAGCACCATGGTGAACGGCAGCACCACTAGGGTGAACGGCAGCACCATGGTGAACGGCAGCACCACTAGGGTGAACGGAAGCACCATGGTGAACGGCAGCACCACTAGGGTGAACGGCAGCACCATGGTGAACGGCAGCACCACTAGGGTGAACGGCAGCACCATGGTGAACGGCAGCACCACCAGGGTGAACGGCAGCACCATAGTGAACGGCAGCACCACTAGGGTGAACGGCAGCACCATGGTGAACGGCAGCACCACTAGGGTGAACGGCAGCACCATGGTGAACGGCAGCCCTACTAGGGTGAACGGCAGCACCATGGTGAACGGCAGCACCACTAGGGTGAACGGCAGCACCATGGTGAACGGCAGCACTACTAGGGTGAACGGCAGCACCAGGGTGAACGGCAGCACCATGGTGAACGGCAGCACCACCAGGGTGAACGGCAGCACCACCAGGGTGAACGGCAGTACCATGGTGAACGGCAGCACCACTAGGGTGAACGGCAGCACCACTAGGGTGAACGGCAGCACCACTAGGGTGAACGACAGCACCATGGTGAACGGCAGCACCACCAGGGTGAACGGCAGCACCACCATGGTGAACGGCAGCACCACCAGGGTGAACGGCAGCACCACCATGGTGAACGGCAGCACCATGGTGAACGGCAGCACCACTAGGGTGAACGGCAGCACCATGGTGAACGGCAGCACCACTAGGGTGAACGGCAGCACCATGGTGAACGGCAGCACCACTAGGGTGAACGGTAGCACCATGGTGAACGGCAGCACCACTAGGGTGAACGGCAGCACCATGGTGAACGGCAGCACCACCAGGGTGAACGGCAGCACCATAGTGAACGGCAGCACCACTAGGGTGAACGGCAGCACCATGGTGAACGGCAGCACCACTAGGGTGAACGGCAGCACCATGGTGAACGGCAGCACCACTAGGGTGAACGGCAGCACCATGGTGAACGGCAGCACCACTAGGGTGAACGGCAGCACCATGGTGAACGGCAGCACTACTAGGGTGAACGGCAGCACCAGGGTGAACGGCAGCACCATGGTGAACAGCAGCACCACCAGGGTGAACGGCAGCACCACCAGGGTGAACGGCAGTACCATGGTGAACGGCAGCACCACTAGGGTGAACGGCAGCACCACTAGGGTGAACGGCAGCACCACTAGGGTGAACGACAGCACCATGGTGAACGGCAGCACCACCAGGGTGAACGGCAGCACCACCAGGGTGAACGGCAGCACCACTAGGGTGAACGGCAGAACCATGGTGAACGGCAGCACCATGGTGAACGGCAGCACCATGGTGAACGGCAGCACCATGGTGAACGGCAGCTCCATAGTGAACGGCAGCACCACTAGGGTGAACGGCACCACCAGGGTGAACGGCAGCACCACTTGGGTGAACGGCAGCACCACTAGGGTGAACGGCAGCACCACCAGGGTGAACGGCAGCACCACTAGGGTGAACGGCACCACCAGGGTGAACGGCAGCACCACTAGGGTGAACGGCAGCACCACTAGGGTGAACGGCAGCACCACCAGGGTGAACGGCACCACCAGGGTGAACGGCAGCACCACTAGGGTGAACGGCAGCACCATGGTGAACGGCAGCACCACTAGGGTGAACGGCAGCACCACCAGGGTGAACGGCAGCACCACCAGGGTGAACGGCAGCACTATGGTGAACGGCAGCACCATGGTGAACGGCAGCACCACTAGGGTGAACGGCAGCACCACCAGGGTGAACGGCAGCACCACCAGGGTGAACGGCAGCACCACCAGGGTGAACGGCAGCACCATGGTGAACGGCAGCACCATGGTGAACGGCAGCACCACTAGGGTGAACGGCAGCACCACCAGGGTGAACGGCAGCACCACCAGGGTGAACGGCAGCACCACTAGGGTGAACGGCAGCACCATGGTGAACGGCAGCACCACTAGGGTGAACGGCAGCACCATGGTGAACGGCAGCACCACTAGGGTGAACGGCAGCACCATGGTGAACGGCAGCACCACTAGGGTGAACGGCAGCACCATGGTGAACGGCAGCACCACTAGGGTGAACGGCAGCACCATGGTGAACGGCAGCACCACTAGGGTGAACGGCAGCACCATGGTGAACGGCAGCACCACCAGGGTGAACGGCAGCACCATGGTGAACGGCAGCACCACTAGGGTGAACGGCAGCACCATGGTGAACGGCAGCACCACTAGGGTGAACGGCAGCACCATGGTGAACGGCAGCACCATGGTGAACGGCAGCACCAGGGTGAACGGCAGCACCATAGTGAACGGCAGCACCATGGTGAACGGCAGCTCCATAGTGAACGGCAGCACCAGGGTGAACGGCAGCACCAGGGTGAACGGCAGCACCATAGTGAACGGCAGCACCATGGTGAACGGCAGCAACAGAAGGTGGTGAAGGTGGGGGAAGGGGGTGAAGGTGAGGGAAGGTGGTGAAGGTGAGGGAAGGTGGTGAAGGTGAGGGAAGGGGGTGAAGGTGAGGGAAGGTGGTGAAGGTGAGGGAAGGTGGTGAAGGTGAGGGAAGGTGGTGAAGGTGAGGGAAGGTGGTGAAGGTGAGGGAAGGTGGTGAAGGTGAGGGAAGGTGGTGAAGGTGAGGGAAGGTGGTGAAGGTGAGGGAAGGGGGTGAAGGTGAGGGAAGGTGGTGAAGGTGAGGGAAGGTGGTGAAGGTGAGGGAAGGTGGTGAAGGTGAGGGAAGGTGGTGAAGGTGAGGGAAGGTGGTGAAGGTGAGGGAAGGTGGTGAAGGTGGGGGAAGGTGGTGAAGGTGAGGGAAGGTGGTGAAGGAGAGGGAAGGGGGTGAAGGAGAGGGAAGGTGGTGAAGGTGAGGGAAGGTGGTGAAGGTGAGGGAAGGGGGTGAAGGTGAGGGAAGGTGGTGAAGGTGAGGGAAGGTGGTGAAGGTGAGGGAAGGGGGTGAAGGTGAGGGAAGGGGGTGAAGGAGAGGGAAGGTGGTGAAGGTGAGGGAAGGTGGTGAAGGTGAGGGAAGGGGGTGAAGGTGAGGGAAGGTGGTGAAGGTGAGGGAAGGTGGTGAAGGTGAGGGAAGGTGGTGAAGGTGAGGGAAGGTGGTGAAGGTGAGGGAAGGTGGTGAAGGTGAGGGAAGGTGGTGAAGGTGAGGGAAGGTGGTGAAGGTGAGGGAAGGTGGTGAAGGTGAGGGAAGGTGGTGAAGGTGAGGGAAGGTGGTGAAGGTGAGGGAAGGTGGTGAAGGTTGCTACAATGATGAAAACATTTTACAGTCAGGAAGACGTTGGGGATGGTAGAGTATAGTGTAGATGGTTACAGTGATGAAGACTGTGTATAGTGTAGATGGTTACAGTGATGAAAACTGTGTATAGTGTAGATGGTTACAGTGATGACTGTTCTTCACAGTGAGGATGGTGACAGTCAGTGTAACCGTGTGCAGTAAACATGGTTAATGGTTGAGTACAGTTAATATAGCGATGCGAGTAATGTGCAGTGTAAATGTTACAGTGCTCATAATACTGTGTAAAGAACGTGTGACCTTCCTCACGGTAACAGTCGCCGTGTACACCTCTCTATATTATGACTTCTAGTTCGTGAGGATCGTGAATTACAAATTACAAGAAACTGGAAGCAACTTACTGTATGATTGCGGCGAGCGAGGACTGGTCGTTGTGTACACTGGTGAGCCAGACGCAGCAGAGAGCCAGCACCAGCAGGGTGTTGAGGGCCAGGCACAGTCGGGGGAAACTGAACCTCATCCTCCTCCTCCTCCTCCCTACCTGCAACACACACATCTCTGTCAGCCGCCTCCCTATCACTGCTACAGTAGCTCACTGTGACTACTGTAGCCACCTCCGTCTCACTGCTACAGTAGCTCACTATGACTACTGTAGTCGCCTCCCTCTCACTGCTACAGTAGCTCACTGTGACTATTTTAGTGAGATCTCTACGACTTCTGCACTGAGCTCTCTTCGACTATTGCAGTGAGCTCTCAATGACTACCTCAGTGAGCTCTCAATGACTACCTCCGTTAGCTCTCAATGACTACCACAGTGAGCTCTCAATGACTACCTCAGTGAACTCTCAATGACTACCTCAGTGAGCTCTCAATGACTACCACAGTGAGCTCTCAATGACTACCACAGTGAGCTCTCAATGACTACCACAGTGAGCTCTCAATGACTACCACAGTGAGCTCTCAATGACTACCTCATGGAGCTCTCAATGACTACCACAGTGAGCTCTCAATGACTACCACAGTGAGCTCTCAATGACTACCACAGTGAGCTCTCAATGACTACCACAGTGAGCTCTCAATGACTACCACAGTGAGCTCTCAATGACTACCACAGTGAGCTCTCAATGACTACCACAGTGAGCTCTCAATGACTACCACAGTGAGCTCTCAATGACTACCACAGTGAGCTCTCAATGACTACCACAGTGAGCTCTCAATGACTTCCACAGTGAGCTCTCAATGACTACCACAGTGAGCTCTCAATGACTACCACAGTGAGCTCTCAATGACTACCACAGTGAGCTCTCAATGACTACCACAGTGAGCTCTCAATGACTACCTCATGGAGCTCTCAATGACTACCTCAGTGAGCTCTCAATGACTACCACAGTGAGCTCTCAATGACTACCACAGTGAGCTCTCAATGACTACCACAGTGAGCTCTCAATGACTACCACAGTGAGCTCTCAATGACTACCACAGTGAGCTCTCAATGACTACCTCATGGAGCTCTCAATGACTACCACAGTGAGCACTCAATGACTACCACAGTGAGCTCTCAATGACTACCACAGTGAGCTCTCAATGACTACCTCAGTGAGCTCTCAATGACTACCTCAGTGAGCTCTCAATGACTACCACAGTGAGCTCTCAATGACTACCTCAGTGAGCTCTCAATGACTACCACAGTGAGCTCTCGATGACTACCACAGTGAGCTCTCAATGACTAGTGCAGTGAGCTCTCTGTGACTACTGCAGTGAGCTCTCAATGCTCTCAATATTGCTGCGACAGTATTCACTGTTGCCATCAATGTAACTATCTTTAATATTCACTGTCACTATCACGGTAACAATCTGCGCTTTTCACTGTCGTCATCACTGTAACAATCAACACCATTCACTGCTGCCATCACTGTAACAATCTTCATTATTCACTGTCACCATCACTGTTACAATCTTCATTATTCTCTGTCGCCTTCACTGTAACAATCTTCACTGTTCACTGTCGCAATAACTGAAACAATCTTCACTGATCACTGTAGCAATCACTGTAACAATCTTCACTGTTCATTCTCGCCATCACTGTAACAATCTTCAGTATTCACTGTCGCCATCACCGGAACAATCATTGCTATTCACTGTCACCATCACTGTAACAATCTTTACTATTCACTGTCTCAATAACTGTAACAATCATTGCTATTCACTGTCGTCATCACTGTAACAATAAGTACTATTTACTGTCACTATCACTGTAACAATCTGTAATATTCACTGTTGCCATCACTGTAACAATCTTTACTATTCCTTGTCGCCATCACTGTAACAATCTGTACTCTTCACTGTCACCATCACTGTAACAATCTTCAATATTCACAGTCACCATCACTGTAACAATCTTCACTACTCACAGTCACCATCACTGTAACAATCTTCACTATTCACAGTCACCATCACTGTAACAATCTTCACTACTCGGATGCTCCATCTTGGCAAATTAATATATTCTTAGAAACTTAAAATTTAATAATGTAAAAATTCCACCCGACCTCAGGGCGGAGGTCCCCTGGGAGGGAGGGACGGGAACTATCAAGCCAGTACGACTATATAGCACTTGGAAGGGGTCAGGATAAGGATTTGGGATGGGACGGGGGAAAGGAATGGTGCCCAACAACTCGGACAGTCGGGGATTGAACGCCAACCTGCATGAAGCGAGACCGTCGCTCTACCGTCCAGCCCAAGTGGTTGGGATAAAGAGGTACCCTGGAGGTAATCACTTCAAAACCACTACTATTTAGGGCTGTCATCTATCCCCGGGCATTATTAGATTAGGTTAAGGAGAGTTTAAGCTTAGATTATGTTTAGGTCAAGTTTAGGTCAAGGTTTGGTCAAGGTTAGGTCAAGTTTAGGTTAGGGAAAGGTAAAGGTCAGGTTAAGTTTTGGTCAAGGTTAAGTTAAGTTTAGGTTAAGGTTAAGCAAGGCTAAAGTTCCATAACATTTCGTTATGTTAAGGGTTTGTTAGATTAAGGTTACATAGGTTAAGGTTACGTTAGGTTAAGGTTACATTACGTTAAGGTTAAGTTAAATTAAGGATATGGTTACATTAGGTTATGCTTATATTTGGTTAAGGTTATGTTAGGTTTAGGTTTTGTTAGGATAGGTTTGGTTACACTTACGTTAAGTTTGCATTACATTTGGTTAAGGTAATTATGTTAAGTTAAGGTTATGTTAGGTTAAGGTTATGTTAGGTTAAGGTTATGTTAGGTTAAGGTTATGTTAGGTTAAGGTTATGTTAGGTTAAGGTTATGTTAGGTTAAGGTTATGTTAGGTTAAGGTTATGTTAGGTTAAGGTTATGTTAGGTTAAGGTTACGTTAGGTTAATATTGCAATTAGGTGTCATTACATATGATTACGTTAAGATGGTGTATTCTCAAACATGTGAAATGTGAAATTCAAAAACTGAGTTGCCCTTTGAACTTTAATTACAGAACACCAAATTCTTCAGACCGTTTCAGAGAAAACAAGTTAAGTATAGACTTTTATATTTCAAACCAACAATTTATAACAATATAATTTTAACTTGAGAATATTCTCGCTTTATGAAAAAGGTTTACTTGCCAGTCTACATGTAGACTAATATTGGAACCTTAATATGCTTTTAGACCATCACAAATATTTAGATAACTACCTATTTGGTGTGAGAATGGATAATTTGATGTCTTGTGGTAAATCACTTTACCTTGAGGACTGACTCCAAAAATATTATGCTGGATAAATCATAGGATGGGATCTAATATTTAGTGAGGTTGAAAGTTGACATCAAGGAGGAGGGAAAACCGTGAGGGCCGGCAACAATCCTCCTATGACCATCCCCCAACAACCACCAGTCACCCTGCAGAGGTTGGTGGGGTTTGAGACCCCAAATGTCTGGTCTCAAACCTTGGATAGACAAACTGGTATATGTATATAATGAAGGATATCTGCTTGAGGGAGTATCCAGCACTGCTTGTGGGAGTATCCACACTGCTTGAGGGAGTATCCACACTGCTTGTGGGAGTATCCAGCACTGCTTGTGGGAGTATCCAGCACTGCTTGTGGGAGTATCCAGCACAGCTTGAGGGAGTATCCACACTGCTTGAGGGAGTATCCACACTGCTTGAGGGAGTATCCACACTGCTTGAGGGAGTATCCACACTGCTTGAGGGAGTATCCACACTGCTTGAGGGAGTATCCACACTGCTTGAGGGAGTATCCACACTGCTTGTGGGAGTATCCAGCACTGCTTGTGGGAGTATCCAGCACTGCTTGTGGGAGTATCCAGCACTGCTTGTGGGAGTATCCAGCACTGCTTGTGGGAGTATCCACACTGCTTGTGGGAGTATCCACACTGCTTGTGGGAGTATCCACACTGCTTGTGGGAGTATCCAGCACTGCTTGTGGGAGTATCCAGCACTGCTTGTGGGAGTATCCACACTGCTTGAGGGAGTATCCAGCACTGCTTGAGGGAGTATCCACACTGCTTGTGGGAGTATCCAGCACTGCTTGAGGGAGTATCCAGCACTGCTTGAGGGAGTATCCAGCACTGCTTGAGGGAGTATCCACACTGCTTGAGTTACATCTTCACTTCACACAGTCCTCATCACAGGTTCGCGGCTATAGTCGGGTAGTGTTACAGTGATGGAAATATGAAGTGAGGAGCGTTACAGTGAAGAGGATGGTCATGTGTAGTGTAGCTCCTACTACTACATCACTGTAACCAGCTACACCCGACTATAGCCGCGAACCCTACCAACATCCATCATCACTTCCTTCTCTCTCCATCACCATCTTTCTTCTCCGTCATCACCATCCTTTATCGTGTATGTGTGTGTGTGTGTGTGTGTACTCACCTAGTTGTGCTTGCGGGGGTTGAGCTCTGGCTCTTTGGTCCCGCCTCTCAACCGTCAATCAACTGGTGTACAGATTCCTGAGCCTACTGGGCTCTATCATATCTACATTTGAAACTGTGTATGGAGTCAGCCTCCACCACATTATTACTTAATGCATTTCTCTGACACTGAAAAAATTCATTCTAGTGTCTCCATGGCTCATTTGGGGCGTGTGTGTGTGTACTCACCTAGTTGTGCTTGGGGGGGGGTTGACCTCTGGCTCTTTGATCCCGCCTCTCAACTGTGACATTCCTGAGCCTATTCTGCTCTATCATATCTACATTTGATACTCTGATGGAATCTGCCTCCACTATACAGTGTGTGTGTGTACTCACCTAGTTGTACTCACCTAGTTGTGCTTGTGGGGGTTGAGCTCTGGCTCTTTGGTCCCGCCTCTCAACTGTCAATCAACAGGTGTACAGGTTCCTGAGCCTATTGGGCTCTATCATATCTACACTTGAAACTGTGTATGGAGTCAGCCTCCACCACATCACTTCCTAATGCATTCCATTTGTCAACCACTAAAAAAGTTCTTTCTAATATCTCTGTGGCTCATTTGGGCACTCAGTTTCCACCTGTGTCCCCTAGTGCGTGTTCTCCTTGTGTTAAACAGCCTGTCTTTATCAACCCTGTCGATTCCCTTGAGGATCTTGAATGTGGTGATCATGTCCCCCCTAACTCTTCTGTCTTCCAACGAAATGAGGTTTAATTCCCGTAGTCTCTCCTCGTAGCTCATACCTCTCAGCTCGGGTACTAGTCTGGTGGCAAACCTTTGAACCTTTTCCATTTTAGTCTTATGCTTGACTAGATATGGACTCCATGCTGGTGCCGCATACTCCAGGATTGGTCTGACATATGTGGTATATAATGTTCTGAAAGATTCCTTACACAAGTTTCTAAAGGCCGTTCTTATGTTAGCCAACCTGGCATATGCTGCTGCTGTTATCCTCTTGATATGAGCTTCAGGGGACAGGTCTGGCGTGATATCAACCCCCACGTCTTTCTCTCTCGGACTCTTGAAGTATTTCATCTCCCAAGTGATACCTTGTATCTGGTCTCCTGCTTCCTACCCCTATCTATGTGTGTGTGTGTGTGTGTGTGTGTGTGTGTGTGTGTGTGTGTGTGTGTGTGTGTGTGTGTGTGTGTGTGTGTGTGTGTATTACCAATAGGAAGATTTTTTGCAGTGCCAAAGCAAAGATGATGCAATGTGGTATTTGAAATAGGAATAAATTATTTAAAACCTAATATCCAAGTGGATGGGCACCATTCCTTTCCCCGTCCCATCCCAAATCCTTATCCTGATCCCTTCCCAGTCGTAATGACTGGGCGCTTCCCCCTAATAGTTCCCTTTTCTACCAAACCTAAAAATAACTAGACCTTATTTGATTTTGAGAAACTGAATGTCACGCGTCATTAGACAATTTGCAATAAGTTCTAAACTTGTGTCAAAATAAAAACTCACACTTGTCAGGGATGATAAAGAAGGGTTGAGGAGTGTAGGGGCGAGGTGTGAGGGTAGAGCAGCTGCCCCGGCCTCACTGACGCTCCACATTACCACACTCCCAGCTAATCATATCTTATCAGACAACGTCTAACTCATGAAGAGCGCGCGCGCACACACACACACACACACACACACACACACACACACACACACACACACACACACACACACACACACACACACATACAGTCCACACACACATACCGCACACACACACACATACAACACACACACACACACACACACACACACACACACACACACACACACACACACACACAAACACACAAACACACAAACACACACAAACACACAAACACACACACACACACACACACACACACACACACACACACACACACACACACAGGGGAAATTATGAGGAGATGAGAAGCTTCCTAAGGGAAATACCTTGGGACACAGACCTCAGAACTAAGTCTGTACAAGATATGATGGACTATGTCACCCAAAAGTGTCAGGAGGCAGTAAGCATCCCGGCCCAAAAGGAAAAATCCGAGAAGCAAAAGATGAATCCATGGTATAATAGGGCATAGGGCAAGGCAGGTGTAGCTGGTAAGGAAGCAAAGAAACTGAACAAAAGGGCGCGGAGGAACTTCCGGAATAACAGAACACCAGAAAGCAGAGAGAGATACCAGAGAACCAGGAATGAGTATGTCAGGGTGAGAAGAGAAGCAGAGAAAAGTTATGAAAATGATATAGCAAACAAAGCCAAGACCGAACCAAAGCTACTCCACAGTCACATCAGAAGGAAAACAACAGTGAAAGAACAGGTATTGAAACTTAGAACAGGCGAGGACAGGTATACAGAGAATGACAAAGAGGTGTGTGATGAACTCAACAAGAGGTTCCAAGAGGTCTTCACAACAGAACAAGGTGAGGTCACTGTGCTAGGAGAAAGGGAAGTAAACCAGGCAGCCTTGGAAGAGTTTGAAATTACGAGAGAGGAGGTCAAGAGACACTTGCTGGACCTGGATGTTAGAAAGGCTGTTGGTCCAGACGGGATCTTGCCATGGGTACTGAAAGAGTGTGCAGAGGCACTTTGCTTGCCACTCTCCATAGTGTATAGTAGGTCACTGGAGACGGGAGACCTACCAGAAATATGGAAGATGGCGACAGGCAAGAGGCACTGAACTACAGGCCTGTATCCTTGACTTGTATACCATGCAAGGTGATGGAAAAGATCGTGAGAAAAAAACTGGTAGCACAACTGGAGAGAAGGGACTTCGTGACAAATCGCCAACATGGGTTCAAGGAGGGTAAATCTTGCCTGACTGGCTTAATAGAATTCTATGACCAGGTAACACAGATTAAGCAAGAAAGAGAGGGCTGGGCGGACTGCATTTTCTTGGATTGTCGGAAAGCCTTTGACACAGTACCGCATAAGAGGCTGGTACATAAGCTGGAGAGACAGGCAGGTGTAGCTGGTAAGGTGCTCCAGTGGATAAGGGAGTACCTAAGCAATAGGAAGCAGAGAGTTACGGTGAGGGGTGAGACCTCCGATTGGCGTGAAGTCACCAGTGGAGTTCCACAGGGCTCTGTACTCTATCCTATCTTGTTTCTGATATATGTAAATGATCTCCCGGAGGGTATAGATTCATTTCTCTCAATGTTTGTGGACGGTGCCAAAATTATGAGAAGGATTAAGACAGAAGAGGACTGTTTGAGGCTTCAAGAAGACCTAGACAAACTGCAGGAATGGTCGAACAAGTGGTTGTTAGAGTTTAACCCAACCAAATGTAATATAATAAAGATAGGTGTAGGGAGCAGGAGGCCAAATACAAGGTATCATCTGGGAGAGGAAATTCTTCAGGAGTCAGAGAAAGAAAAAGACTTGGGAGTTGATATCACGCCAGACCTGTCTCCTGCAGCACATATCAAGATGATAACATCAGCGGCATATGCCAGGCTGACCAACATACGAACGGCATTCAGAAATTTGTGTAAAGAATCATTCAGAACTTTGTATACCACATATGTCAGGCCAATCATGGAGTATGCAGCCCCAGCATGGAGTCCATATCTAGTTAAGGATAAGACTAAACTGGAAAAGGTTCAAAGATTTGCCACCAGACTAGTACCTGAGTTGAGAGATATGAGCTACGAGGAGAGACTACGGGAATTAAACCTCACTTCGCTGGAAGACAGAAGAGTTAGGGGGGACATGATCACCACATTCAAGATTCTCAAGGGAATTGATAGGGTAGATAAAGACAGGCTATTTAACACAAGGGGCACACGCACAAGGGGACGCAGGTGGAAACTGAGCGCCCAAATGAGCCACAGAGATATTAGAAAGAACTTTTTTAGTGTCAGAGTGGTTGACAAATGGAATGCATTAGGAAGTGATGTGGTGGAGGCTGACTCCATACACAGTTTCAAGTGTAGATATGATAGAGCCCAATAGGCTCAGGAATCTGTACACCTGTTGATTGATGGTTGAGAGGCGGGACCAAAGAGCCAGAGCTCAACCCCCGCTAGCACAACTAGGTGAGTACAACTAGGTGAGTACACACGACTCTTGAGTCAGCCTTGATAGGGAGCAGACGTGTTGGGTCAGCGGTCCGCACATACCTAGGGAATAATAGGGGTCAAGGGAGGGGGTGCACTGTGCAGTGAGAATCGGGACAGTGTAAATCGAAAAGTGGCATTGTAATGCAACACATTGATCACATCTCGTGGTGAAATATCTTAGTGAATTTAGAGAAGGTAGCTAGTGAAGATCGACTTCTTGAGGCAGCATCAGTCGCATCAGCTGGGACCCACGTGGAGACCTGAAGACCTCACAGGATTACCGACGACACGCCGTGTATTCACCTAGAGTGCTTGTGGGGGGGAAGGGCTGGCTGGTAAGTGTCTCTCATAAGTCTCCAACAGTGTGCAAGGTTTATATAACATCATAGCATAGACATTACTGCATTCCATTCATTAATACAATCGTAAGAGATAGTCAGGTAACAAGGAAAGCAACTGTGAGCTCACTGGAAACCCAGATAAGCCGCTAATCTCCAACTGTAGTCTGAAGACAACACCTCAACCACCTCCTCTTAACCCCCATCTCACTCTCCCAACACACCTCCCCCCCCCCCCACCACTGACTATACATACACACACACAAACACATACATTATCCCCTCCCCCCCCTTTTCTCTCTTCTTCTGTAGCATACCAGATATTCCCCACCCCTACCCCCAAAACCCTCCCACACTGTGGGACCCCATCCATCTCCCTCACCAACCACCTGACCACCTGACCTGAAGTGACCTTCTCTGCCCCAATCCCATACAATCTCTCTCCTCCCACCCCCTCCCTCTCTCTCTCTCTCTCTTGTCCTCTCTGTTCTGTTCTCTTTCTCTCTCTGTCTCTCTCGCTCTCTCTCGCTCTCTCTCTCTCTCTCTCTCTCTGCCCCCACACAGGGAGGGTATGGGGGTATGGAGAGAAGAGGGACATAGAGGATATGGGGTGAGGGGAGGATGGAGGATATTGAGGGTATGGGAAGAAAAGGGAAGGAGGACAGGGTGGAAAGGGAAAGGGGGGAGGGGGGATATGGTGGGAATGAGGGAGGGGTGACAGGATATGTATGGGGGTGAGGTGGGAGGGAGGATTGATTGAGCATCTGAGTGGAGGCAGGGAGGGTGAGAGGTAGGGAGGGTTTCTATGTGGAGAAGGGTGGTGGTGTTGCCCTCTCCTCTGGTGTTGCTGGAATGTTGGTTGTGGGTTCCCCTTTCGGAACTGGGAATGTTGTGTTGGGGCTGTGCTTTCCTGGTTTTCTCCTCTCACCTTGTGCTTCTTCCTTGTCTCTGCCGCCATGACTCTTTCCTCCTTTGTCATGTCCCTCTGGAGGAATACTTGTTTTAATCTTCCACATATTGCAGATGGCTCTTCCTTTCTAGAACATCCTCCTTCATGGTCTCATTTGAAAACACAATCTTTATCAGGCGGTCTGTACCTATGTTGTACCAGCCCAACCTGAAAATCTTCACAATTTTTTTTAAGCCCCCTCCATCTTTAACATTTTTAGTAATCCATTCACTGCCTCTCTGTCCTCACTATTCCACTCTTGCCTATTAGAGCCTTCCCGTTCTTTGATGCCCACAGCTACCACTGATCTTTTTAATTCCAGCAGCTGACTGGTGCACATTGCTGCTTCCAGTGAGGTAGCTGCTTACATGGCTACCTCCTTCACTGTGGCCATTGCTTCTGAGTTCTTTTTCAGTATTTCTGCAAAAGTTTCATGTTCCAAGGCATTTCCTTCCAATGCACCATTTCCATCTTCCCTTAGGATGATTATCTGATGCTCAGACTCATTATTTTTCTTTGTGAGGGATTTTATCTCCTCCTTTGCTGCTGTCAGCTCACTCTGCAGGTTATTGTGTTCTTAATTTCATGCATCTTCTTCCTCATTTCCTCCCAAATACGGGATAACATTTCCTTTATTAGGTCATTTTTCCCTGTGCCCTTGGTGTGTCCCCGTGCCATTTCAGGGTTAGCCAGGGGGCCATAGAGGAAGAGAGAGAGAAAGGGAGTGAGAGAGGGAGGGAAAGAGAGAGAGAGAGAGAGAGAGAGAGAGAGAGAGAGAGAGAGAGAGAGAGAGAGAGAGAGAGAGAGAGAGAGAGAGAGAGAGAGAGAGAGAGAGAGAGAGAGCGAGGGAGAGCGGGAGAGGGGTGAGAGAGAGGGAAGTCCAAATAGAAAGTGGGGTGGGGGGAGGAGAGAGAGGGGAAGTAGCACAAGTTGTGTGTGTGTGTGTGTGTATAATGGATGGGTGGGGGCGATCACGCCCTTCTCACAGAGGTGAGAACGTTGAAATGTTGGGTATATGAGTGTGTGTGTGTGTGTGTGTGTGTATTTGTGTGTGTATGTGTGTGTGTATGTGTGTGTGGGGGGGGGGGTGTATGGTGAGAAAGGGGGGTGAGATTAGTGGGTTTGTGTTTGAGTGTGTGCATGTGTATGATTGCGAGGGCATGCGTGGTTTTTGTGTGTGTGTGTGTGTGTGTGTGTGTACTCACCTATATGTACTCACCTATATGTGCTTGCAGGATCGAGCATTGACTCTTGGA